TCGACTGTTATTCAGCAGTTATTTTTAAGCAACCTTTACTTCTCAATCGACTTCGTATCCGATTCAGATGATTTTCGGAGAAATCAACAATACTTTTTATAAATATAAAGAACATAATTATTTGCAATTCATATTCACTGCAATAGTTCACATATACGTTTATATCAGAGGGAGAATATTTAAGACATTTATGAAGTGTGTTTTGATTTGAAGAAAGTTTTAATTTCTAAGGTAAATTGGAATGTGTGGATTCATTTATTTTCGTTGGGTTCAATTTTCGTTGACTCATAAATTCGTGGATTTTTTATTCTGTAGGAAAAAAATAAAAACGTTAGAATTTTCTCTTTTTGCTTCCAGTCGAAATTTTTTCTGTTTGTATTAAGGCTATGTTCAAGGAATTAACACTAATGACAAGAATAAAAGAAAGATGGCGTCCTGTGTTTTTATAACGCTGTTTACAACAGTTATTAATATCAAACCACAAATCAGTATATATCCTGGCGTGTAATCAATCGGTAATTATCAGAAACAATTGTTTTCAGTGGATAAACATAGTCGGTGTTTATGAAAACACCACGCGTATCGATTGGAGCATGTGTGTAAACAGGTGTGTAAACAAGACATTATTAATAATTATGAAAGACTGTCACATTACTTAGCATTGGGTATTACCCTTTGTTATGTTTAATAATATATAATTATATATCGTTGACACCAATTTAGCGTATCCATGTGCAATACCCGACTCCCGACTAATTACGGGGCTTCTACCGGTGGACGTTTCCGGTGTCGGCAAAGATTACTTGGTCAAATTTCAAAATTACTTTAGTAAGTAGTTCATATTTCGTTGTGTTTTTAAATTCGTGGATTTGCTCATCCACGAAAACAACGAAAATTGGACCCCCACGAAATAAAATGAATCCACAGTAGGCCATAGGACCATTACATGTAAAAGAACAAATGAACTAATATTGTTTTAATCATACATACTTCAACATATATAAGATGTTTAACTTTATTCAAGTACAAAATCTGCAATAAACAATGCTGAGATGGACTCAATAAAAGCTGTCAAGAATAATGAACTGATCACGAATCAGATGATTGTAAAATATCTGTTTAATGTTAGTCCAGTCCCAGTGTAACAACGCTTGGGATCAGCTCCATATTCAGCTATAATTTGCTGTCAACGTGACCAAATTAAGTAATTCCCAAGTGGGGAAGAATCTGTACCATTGGTGAAAACCAGCCATTCCATAAATTATTCCACAATATTTTATGATTGAGAATGAGATGATAAAAACTTGTATTAAGATTTTTAGTCTTCATGTACAGAACTTCTCTCTCTGAATCTGAAAGAAACAAAAATGAGGCGTCTTGGTAAATATGACTTACATCTTTCATCTTTACATCACAATGAGTAATATGGAGGCAGAATCGCTTTCTCCATATTTAAAATATCATATCTTAATTATTTTTTACACTTGGTAGTATTATATTTGATATAAAATGAAAATGAAAGTGTTGTTTTAGGACAACATATACATCAACAATGACCATACCTATTCATAGGAACTTTTCATTTCCATATTTCGAGCTGCAGCTATCTATATTTGCTTCAGGAGATGAAAATCTTAATATTTGTCATTTATATGTAAGAAAAGATATCTGTGGGGAAATTATATAGAAACAATAAGTGTATAATATAAAAGGCATCTGTAGTTTTCCTTTATAAATGAATGGATTTTAAAATTTGTTTACTTTTATTTTATATTAACATCATGTTATTTCCTCATTGATATGTTTACATTTCAACTGGCCTAAGCGCTGACAATAAATTCAAGTCAATGTAACATTTTATGAAACTCCATGTCAATACCAGACATGCAGTCAATTAGTGAGAAGCAATCAATGTTTCCAATTAAAGGTTAATTCCTCCTGGTGTTGTAGACATCTTCCTTCTTTGATAACACCTGTACAGAACGGAAAAGTACTATACTGGGTAAAATGAGAAAATCATTTAATTGAAACATATTTTTGCATTCAGATCCATAACGATTAAAACGTACAATATCTATTATGATTAAATTTGATTATTTCAGATTCTGATGCAATTTTTTCTGAAATTCAAAGCCATGTGTTTCATTTCAAAAGGAGTGAGAAAAACTGTCTGTATGAAGTTAAAGACATTATCTCTATTTCATATAAATTGTTGATCTCGTGAAATGGTGCAGTGTTGTAACTTAAGGACACCAATATTTAATCTTTTTGTGTTACTTTATATACTGAGAGGGTTTATTATCTGTAAATATAATCAACGACAGAGAGTAAGATATGAATTTACTTAGACATATCCGAGTCTTGATAATTATTCACCAATTCTATGTTGGTCTTTGTGCGTACAACTCATTTCAGTGATTGGGATATCTTGCTATTAAAAGATGTCATTTGTTATGTATATATTGAAAGAAAATTAGCACTTTATGACAAATTATGAAGCAAACAATCTGCGTGTGGATAAAATTAAATGATTTTAAAAAAAATATATACCTATTTATACCAATACCTTTGGTATGGGGGTATTGGATTTGACAATTAAGCATGTTCTCTTTGATTCTGCAAGGATTACCTTCAAACTGGAGAACACTCAAAGGATGACATTATAACAAAATAGAATCTATAAAATATCAACAGAAAGTATCTAATCTTGTGAGTTTGTTATGTTTTGTCGTTTTGAATTTATCTTTATTCATTTTTCTCCTAGCTTCAGATATATCAACTTATAGCCTTGATGTCTGAGACTGACAAATCGATAACTGGAATAGATCTAAAAAAGTGATTGAGCAACATCGACAATCAGATATGAACAAACAGCTGATACATGCTTTTAATTGCCTTCAATTTATTTTAAATTATTTAAAACACAGACAATATCCATGCCGCATTTGTACTGAATAAATTTATTAGAAAACATGTGGAAGTTGTATTGTACACATTTGTAGATGCATGAGTGCTTATAACGTTGTGAACAAGAGACGTAACGTCGATCGGTGTATACCACTATTACTGTACATAATAGTGTTATCTTCATTTCTGTATTTTCAGTGTAATTATTCGGTAGTCAGTATGATATGACACAAGATATTTACGTACATCTCAGTTGTTTTGGAAGTCACGAATTGCTATGAACATCTCAAAATGTTTTACTGGCTAAAATGAAGTAAGATAATGTAATAATATATAAATTTGTTAATATGCGTTATATTTCACGAAGTGCATCAAGCAAAAACATGCTGTTCATGAAAAGTTTTTATTCAATAAGGATGTACTATCATACATTATTTAGTAAGTAATTAGCAATATGATTTTGTATACAAGTCATGAAGCCATGTAGTGTGAAAATTCATGTATAAAACAATAAAGCGTGTTTGATCCCGGTAAGTGAAAGTCGTGACACGTTCTGGTCAAGATGTTTAGTACATACAGCTGAAGAATCCTGAGCTACGGAATTAATTGGTAAAAGTTTGGATTGATGAACTGAGAACTTCGTTTCAGGTAAACACGTCAGCACACCATGAGCCAAAATCTGCATTCATTAGTCAATTCTTCATTGTCCGGACAATAACTAGAGGCCTATGAGCCTTAACGGTCATCTGACTATAGAGACCAATGTATGATACGGAGCCAGTAGGTCTGGATTGCTCACCTTTTCTACAGCTTACAAAGAAGACTTTGTCAGTCCATAAAGCTCAATTTTCCTTATTCCTCAAGGCTGCACCTACACAAATGTCATGACAAAGGGCCTATTGCTTGTTTACAGAGGATATTTTAAGTTCTCGATATATCTAAACACAGCGACATTGAAAGAGAATCAAGAACAAATATTTGTATAAATTTGTTAGCCCTTTATCCAGTTATGTTATAGAACAAATATTGATAGCCTGGACCTTTACGTCATTAAAAAAATCAAAAAGATTTTTCACACATTTGATTCCTGTGACTTTTAAAAGTAGGTCAGGGTCATTCATTTGAAAAATTTGGTAGCTCTTCTTCTAGCATACTACAGTCCAAATATCAGCACCCAAAGTCTTTTGGTTATCGATAAGTCGTTTTAAGATTTTAACACATTTGGCCCCTATGACCTTGGATTTCGGTCCTTTATCCCAACATGCTACAGGCCTAATATCATTATCCTTGCTCTTTTAGTTTTTGAGACATTTTTAAAACATTTTAAGTCATCTCGTCCCTGTGACATTGAAAGTAGGTCAATGTCATTCATTTGAACAAACTAAATAGCCTTTCATCGCGGCAAGCTACCAGCCAAATAAAGAGCACCCCGAGTCGTTTGGCTAATAAGACGCCATTTGGTGAGTGAAGGTCATTTATTTGAACTAATTTGGTAGTCCTTTATCTCACCATTCTACAGGCCTTATATAGCACCTCCACTTTCTGAAAATTGAGAAGAAGTCGTTTAAAGATTTTGAAACATTTTGTCCCCGAAAGGCACGTGGACCGCGCAAGCTCTAGATAGAAGATACCATTCTACGTACCATTCTTCATTTATAGAAATAGTCACCCAGAGAAACCAACCCCTTAACGTGTCAACCTGCTTACACATGTCTGAACTACCGCATCAAACACGTCAAGTGTTTGGAATCCTGCACGTAACACGTTACTTATTTTCTTGGTAGTGTTATATAAAGAACTTCCGAAACGTTCTCATTCGTGAAATTTGCATATATTTTCTAACGGAACAAACGTTTAACTTTTTCGGTAAGTCCAGACTCTGTGTCAGTCCTACCAAAATGAAAACAGAACTGCACTGATATCATCGAATACAGATATTTAAAAAAAACAATTTTATTATTGTTTGTAGAATAGTAAAACACAATACAATAACATGGGGATATATTATTGCCATTACCAATTAACGGGAATTGAAAGTAGACAAGAAATGCGTTAATGATTGTTTGCTGATTGTTGTTGTTATTGATTCTCTTCTAAAACTCCTCGTGGAATGGGTAGTATGGACTGTGGGTGGCACTGAAATGAAACCAGAATGGAGATTTAATTAATTGATTCAAGATTTTACTGATTTTACACACTTAACAATTCCTCTCTTCCTGGGTCTCAGATATCATAAATGAAAATTATATAAAATGAAATTATATCAACATGTGTAAAAATAGTCGTATAAATGAATTAAGATTCCTTTATCAGTAAGAAACATATACGACAAATTGCTATATTTGAATCATCGTTTGTTGCCTAGATGTTAATGAAATCAATTTAAGAAGGAAAAGAAGTCTTTTGAAGCAAAATGTTGATTAACTTCCCCCATTTTGGGCCCCAACCCCAGGTTCCTAGGGGTCATATCATTTTTTATGATTTAAAGAAACGATAAACCACCTGCAACAATGTTTCATATCAAATTTGAATGAAATTTAGCCAGGCATTAGCATTTTGAAACAAAGAATTGTATAACTACCGTTTTAGGTCCCCGTCCCCAGGTCCCTAGGGGTCAAAGCAACTTTCTGATTATAATTCCCTATCCCAAATGATGTTTCAGATCAAATTTGGCTGAAACTCCGCTCAGGCGTTAAGCAGGATGTGTGTTTTAAATGAAAAGTTTACGGACGATGCAGAGCGGACGGCGCACGACGACGGACGACGCATGATAGCAATAGGTCATCTTGACCCCTCGGGTCAGAGTACCTAAAAATACACTGGGATCATTAATTATTAGAAAAGACATGTAAACCATTGGAACCATTAATTAACATTGGAACATTTTCAGAGAAACAAATTAACTCATTGCTGAAACGCAAAATGTGAGTGTCTTTTACATCATGTTCTTTTGTATAAAGGATTAAATCCTTAAATTGTACAAACTAAATGTCTGTTGCAACGGGTTAAATCCCACATTGAAATACATTATGATAATATATAATACTGATTTTTTTATGATATTCATAAATATGGCAACATTTCTTTCAGAGCAAAATCTTTTTAAAAAATGTTGTTTTAGATAAAGATTAAAAGACGAACTGAAACAAATCATACACTCATTAAATACGTTATGATTAAGTTATGATAATTGTAATGTAACAATTAAGAGGCCATTCATTAGAACACAGGAATCCATTTCTGTGTAGATTGTGAATGATGCATTAAACGCCTTACTAGAATTACACGCTGCTGTATTAGATTGTGAATGATAAATGTTACCCTGTAATTTAAATACACATAAGAGATCATACTCAGCTCTGTTCCAGGTACAAACACGATAATTCCTGTTCATCGCATTGATGACATTCATTTCATCTTCATCCAATGCAAAGTCAAAAAGCTAAAATGAAAAATTAAATCACAGATGAATAGATAAAGCTGAGTGTTATTTGTTGAGAAGGACTAAATGGTAATTTCCAATGTGACCCAAGAATACTGATATCTCATAATCATTCAAGTTGAAATCAAATGAAAATGAGAATTTCAGTAACCAAAGGACATTCCGAAGAATAATCAGAAATCGGTTTATAACTACTAAAGTATTACAATCTACTAAAACATCCCAAAATGTCGACCCTTTAACACTCAGGCTATATCGACCTGTTTTACATCAGAACATCATTCAATGGTATACTTAAAGTATTGTTTTAATGAGTGAGGTCATGTGTAGATGGATCCACGACTATTGTTCAGTAGTAATAAATCTAATCATATTTAATATATTATTTCACATTAAATGCATTATTACAGTAATATTTGCTTACATTTTGGAACAGAAGGAATATAAATAATGCATACCTCGAGGTTTTGTTTCTGTCTGGCCTCGAAAACGCTCTTAGGTATAACTATATACCCTCTTTGTACACCCCATCGTAGAAGTACCTTAGTATAAAACATTTTTACTGTTAATTTAAACATCAGAAAATTTGCCATCTCATAGAGTCCTCGCGTTACACACCCTTTCATTTGTGCATGAACAAACGTTTAGTTTAGATGAGTAACGAAGTCTTGACCTCGTCAAATCAGGCAGGGTTGACATGGAAACCATGAGAAAAACAACACTAACGAGATTACACTCCTGTTACACTTACATGGTATAGAATTCTTAGCCTTGCCATCAACTAGATATTGAATTGTTAGATGTTTTCAAGTATCTACATTAAGTTTCGGTGAAACATTTTGAATGAAATGATGTGGCCGATTTGGTAGAGTAAAATCTCAATAATACTGACCTGTCCTGGTGATTTGTTATATCGAGTTGCGATCTTTACTATTTCTGGCTCCTCCAGTAGCACTGGGTCCTCGGGTGTTGCCCTGTTAGTCATACCGAAAATCAGGCATACTAGCTCGAAATTCAAGATCCACTGTCACTTTGAATAAAAACTTATGTCATCAAGACACTATTTTCCAAATAATCCAATAGATGTACTAAATGACAATTAAAATGAAGATGCTGTATAGTAATTATAATACTGTTACAATTTTTGATTGTTTTGATTAGAAGTAACAGTCTTTACACTTACCATGGCCGGTCACCAGAACCAAGTGGGGAATATGCCACTACAACAATACCTCTGGATTTACAGAACTGTAGTAACTTATCGTTGGCATTGTAAGGAGAAATTTCAATCTGTAATGTAACATCAGTTAACAAATAACTAAAAGGAGTACAATATACAAGAAAATACCAACATGTCAATATGATTATCAAATTCCATAAAACTGGAGCAATATAGAAACAAAAGAAAGATTCACACCCGCCATGTAAACCTTGCAATTGAATGCATAGAAAACGAGCTAAATCAAAAACCTATTGACAACGTCAGAAGCAAAGAACATTTTACGGATGTGATTTTTTTCACGAATTTTCGTATGTCTATATTACTATAAATCTTATTCGTTCTTACCTGGTTACAGGTCATTGGGTGTTTCAAACCAAGATCTAAAATCCTCTGGACTTGTTTGGAATTAAAGTTTGATACACCAATTGATCTGCAAAGACCCTGGTCAACCAAATCCTGCATAGCCTGTCACAAAGAGAGCGTTGACGTGAAATTGTCGAATTTGTCAGTAATTTCTACATCGTATGTTTTAACAAATCCACGTTTATTCTTAAATTTTTCAACAAATAATAATAAAAGACACTTACTGTCCATGTTTCAGTGTAGTCTATATCGATAACATCAGTCTTGCCATCTGGAGTGAGTGGAAACAAATCGGCACCTTCCTGAAATGATATTTTGGATAAAGTTCTAAATGGTTTCTTTCTTTTCGATCCTCGATGATAAAAATCTTTCTACATAAGTGTTTATTTGACCTTTACGTCATATTGATTATTTGAATAAACTTTTTTTTTATAAAACACGTAAATGTCATCATACAGTTGAATTAGTGAGAAATCCGAACCTTGCTTACATCATTATTGATGATAGCAAATATATCATATTACCATAGAGAATAATAAATTAAGATGACACCAATTCAGTAATATGTTCTTACCCTCATAGGTAGAGGCCAGTGTATGATATAGAGATCTATGTATTCTAGACCGAGGCTGGTTAGGGATTCCTTACATCCCTCTGGTACCCGGCCTTTGCTGTGGTACGTGTTCCATAGCTGAAATTTAGTTTTCCTTATTAAATTAAAGAAGTCAATTATAGATTTTACGTCAAGGTTATTCTTCCTTTGTTATCAAAATTGTTATCAAATTTCAAAATTGGTAAAAGCTTGAGTTGTTTATGCTAATCTTCCTATCTCTCAACTGCCACACTCGCCTATTACGCTAAGGATATGGTCTATATTTTTCTTTTCTTTTAGGATAAACAAAAACTATGGCCTATCATATATTATATAAAAAAGATGAAATGAGAGTGATTAGCGAATCGATGTTTAACATTAAGGAGAAACAAAGATGAGTGACATTCTAACTACAATCAATATACAACATATATAACATATATGACTTATCTCGTTACAACGAGAATAAACATAAAAATAGGGTTTTTCTGTGTAGTTTACTCTCCATATCTTATTTAGCGATTTAAAGTAAAATAACAATATTTCTTATTTCAGTACACGGCCCATGATATACATGGTGTATATGCATTCTTACATATACGCTATAGTGAAATTTACCACTAAATGTCGCCTTGTGTATTGCGGTTATTGCAGTTTTAATCAATTTTGCTGAAAATGCCGACATCACGTAGAGACGATGACGTCTATAGGTAATATTTCTGATACCTTATGAATCTAAATTAAGGTGATAATACCTTTGTCGTAATGAACAAATCTTCACGCTTGACAACTCCGCCTTCAATAGCTTCTTTAATCGCTACTCCTATTTCCTTTTCGTTTCCATAGGCAAGGGCACAATCAAAATGGCGGTACCCCAGCCTAATGGCAGTTTTCACTGCGGCTCCTACCTCTCCTGGTTTTGACTGAAATAGTGAATAAACCAGTAATGTAAACAGCACATTTCTATAAACTTCTCTGAACATAGAAGTAGCGGTAAATACGATAAATAGTAAACTTACCTGTTCTTATCATACAGCCCCTAATACTGCTGATAACACGACCAGACTCGTGTATGAATTTACATTACGTTTCATTCACCAGTTGCCATGTGAGATCATGTCATATAACATTATTAAATTGTAGCAAGTATTATATATCAGTCTTAAATTCTTGTTGCCAAACGTCCACATTTGCCTAGTTGTTATTAAGATTTCTGAACCAAATTATATTTACTGGAAAATAGGAGAAATATTGTAACGAATTAAAGCAATTTGCGTTTATAGCTCAACATACTCTAATGATAATAACAATTGACCTACTTTTCTGTTTACAAAATTGTTCCAATAATTCAAACATTTTGATAAGCACAAACATTCTAAAACATAGGAAATATATATATATATAGATATCCCTGGTTTGTCAGTTTGTAATAAATCGATGATACATTTAGAGTATTTGTTGTTAAACCGTTGAGTAATATGTAAAATTGATTAAACCAGAGTCAAACAGATGAAGTCACGGATGTCAAATACACTTTAGAAAAAATGTACTTTGTAAGTTTTCATTTCTATCGCTGTTTATTGTAATCACCTACCTTCCAAGTACCCAGGCCTACACATGGTATTTTATACCCGCTTAGTAGCGTCTGTTCCTGTATAGCTGACATGGTGATATGGCTGTTGTAGATCGAACGTACGTTATCGCCCCAAATCTGTGCGTCCTTGGCCTTTGTACGGAAGACTAAGTGTGTCAAATGATATTTACTATTGTTGTTTCGTCTTTTTCGCAAGAAAAAGATAATTCTGATATTTTGTTGGAATTTGGTTTTGCTTTAAAAAATGAGCACACGTCAAAAAGTCATTTACTTAATTTATGCCTGTTACATCATAACAAGAAAATAAGTGTTCGTATAATCAGATGTAGTACGTCCGTTGATATGCTATGGGTATGAGCTTGTTACTTTTTATATATTTAGTAGTGTTGTATTTTTCTCCTATCTGGCCATGCCTTGACAGAACTTAATGAGCTCATCAATAACTATGAAAGTACTCCTTCATCCAGCAGCTATCTTTGATAACAAGAAATAGTCCTATATTTTTCTCGTATTTATAAGCCATTGACAGCTTATGGCTTTGGGAATATACGTTCAATTCTTATATATAATAGTTTTTTAAACCAAGTTGTGAATTTTGTTTTTGGCAATCTAATATATTTTGACTTTGTGCAAAAGGTGTTCCGTGGATTGTGATATTGTAATTACAGTATTGTGTAGTAGGTGTTCTATGGATTGTAATATTGTAACTGCAGTATTATGTAGTAGGTGTTCCACGGATTGTAATATTGTAACACCAGTATATTGTGTAGTAGGTGTTCCGTGGATTGTGATATTGTAACTACAGTATTATGTAGTAGGTGTTCTGTGGATTGTAATATTGTAACTGCAGTATTATGTAGTAGGTGTTCCACGGATTGTAATATTGTAACACCAGTATATTGTGTAGTAGGTGTTCCACGGATTGTAATATTGAACTACAGTGTTATGTAGTAGGTGTTCCATGGATTGTAATATTGAACTACAGTGTTATGTAGTAGGTGTTCCATGGATTGTAATATTGTAACACCAGTATATTGTGTAGTAGGTGTTCTATGGATTGTAATATTGTAACTGCAGTATTATGTAGTAGGTGTTCCACGGATTGTAATATTGTAACTGCAGTATTATGTAGTAGGTGTTCCACGGATTGTAATATTGTAACACCAGTATATTGTGTAGTAGGTGTTCCATGGACTGTAATATTGTAACTACAGTATATTGTGTAGTAGGTGTTCTGTGGATTGTAATATTGTAACACTAGTATATTGTGTAGTAGGTGTTCCACGGATTGTAATATTGAACTACAGTGTTATGTAGTAGGTGTTCCATGGATTGTAATATTGTAACACCAGTATATTGTGTAGTAGGTGTTCCATGGATTGTAATATTGTAACTACAGTATATTGTGTAGTAGGTGTTCTGTGGATTGTAATATTGTAACACTAGTATATTGTGTAGTAGGTGTTCCACGGATTGTAATATTGAACTACAGTGTTATGTAGTAGGTGTTCCACGGATTGTAATATTGTAACACTAGTATATTATGTAGTAGGTGTTCAGTGGATTGTAATATTGTAACTACAGTATTATGTAGTAGGTGTTCTGTGGATTGTAATATTGTAACTACAGTATTATGTAGTAGGTGTTCCACGGATTGTAATATTGTAACACCAGTATATTGTGTAGTAGGTGTTCTGTGGATTGTAATATTGTAACTGCAGTATTATGTAGTAGGTGTTCCACGGATTGTAATATTGTAACACCAGTATATTGTGTAGTAGGTGTTCCATGGATTGTAATATTGTAACTACAGTATTGTGTAGTAGGTGTTCCACGGATTGTAATATTGTAACAAAAGTATATTGTGTAGTAGGTGTTCCACGGATTGTAATATTGTAACACTAGTATATTGTGTAGTAGGTGTTCCACGGATTGTAATATTGTAACAAAAGTATATTGTGTAGTAGGTGTTCCACGGATTGTAATATTGTAACACTAGTATATTGTGTAGTAGGTGTTCCACGGATTGTAATATTGTAACAAAAGTATATTGTGTAGTAGGTGTTCCACGGATTGTAATATTGTAACAACAGTATATTGTGTAGTAGGTGTTCCACGGATTGTAATATTGAACTACAGTGTTATGTAGTAGGTGTTCCACGGATTGTAATATTGTAACACTAGTATATTGTGTAGTAGGTGCTCCACGGATTGTAATATTGTAACACTAGTATATTGTGTAGTAGGTGTTCCACGGATTGTAATATTGTAACAACAGTATATTGTGTAGTAGGTGTTCCACGGATTGTAATATTGTAACACAGTATATTGTGTAGTAGGTGTTCCACGGATTGTAATATTGTACACAAAAGTATATTGTGTAGTAGGTGTTCCACGGATTGTAATATTGTAACAACAGTATATTGTGTAGTAGGTGTTCCACGGATTGTAATATTGTAACAAAAGTATATTGTGTAGTAGGTGTTGTAATATTGGATTGTGTAATATTGTAATATTGTAACAAAAGTATATTGTGTAGTAGGTGTTCCACGGATTGTAATATTGTAACAACAGTATATTGTGTAGTAGGTGTTCCACGGATTGTAATATTGTAACTACAGTATTGTGTAGTAGGTGTTCCACGGATTGTAATATTGTAACACTAGTATATTGTGTAGTAGGTGTTCCACGGATTGTAATATTGTAACAAAAGTATATTGTGTAGTAGGTGTTCCACGGATTGTAATATTGTAACAACAGTATATTGTGTAGTAGGTGTTCCACGGATTGTAATATTGTAACTACAGTATTGTGTAGTAGGTGTTCCACGGATTGTAATATTGTAACACTAGTATATTGTGTAGTAGGTGTTCCACGGATTGTAATATTGTAACAAAAGTATATTGTGTAGTAGGTGTTCCACGGATTGTAATATTGTAACAAAAGTATATTGTGTAGTAGGTGTTCCACGGATTGTAATATTGTAACACTAGTATATTGTGTAGTAGGTGTTCCACGGATTGTAATATTGTAACAACAGTATATTGTGTAGTAGGTGTTCCACGGATTGTAATATTGAACTACAGTGTTATGTAGTAGGTGTTCCACGGATTGTAATATTGTAACACTAGTATATTGTGTAGTAGGTGTTCCACGGATTGTAATATTGTAACAACAGTATATTGTGTAGTAGGTGTTCCACGGATTGTAATATTGAACTACAGTGTTATGTAGTAGGTGTTCCACGGATTGTAATATTGTAACACTAGTATATTGTGTAGTAGGTGTTCTGTGGATTGTAATATTGTAACTACAGTATTGTGTAGTAGGTGTTCTGTGGATTGTAATATTGTAACTACAGTATTGTGTAGTAGGTGTTCCACGGATTGTAATATTGTAACACTAGTATATTGTGTAGTAGGTGTTCCACGGATTGTAATATTGTAACAACAGTATATTGTGTAGTAGGTGTTCCACGGATTGTAATATTGTAACAACAGTATATTGTGTAGTAGGTGTTCCACGGATTGTAATATTGAACTACAGTGTTATGTAGTAGGTGTTCCACGGATTGTAATATTGAACTACAGTGTTATGTAGTAGGTGTTCCACGGATTGTAATATTGTAACACTAGTATATTGTGTAGTAGGTGTTCCATGGATTGTAATATTGTAACACCAGTATATTGTGTAGTAGGTGCTCCATAGTTTGTAACATTGTAACTACAGTATCTTGTGTCTTCGATTCACCGGTTGGACAAGCAACCAGGTCTTAATTCACCGATTGGACAAGCAACCAGGTCTTGATTTCGTGATTGGACAAGCAACCAGGTCTTTATTCTCCGATTGGACAAGCAACCAGGTCCTGATTTCCCGATGGGCACAATATAAGGAGAATGAAAAATTCGTCTCATTCTAATCCCTGAAGTGTTGTTTTTATTTTATTTGTTTATCTTTTGCAAAATGATAAGTCGTTATGATTATTTCTAGCTGTCATTGTGCAACACATTTTTTTAATCTATACATTCTTTTACTAGAGTTTTTGATACAAACATCTAACAGCTGTTCACATAAATGACATCAATACATATCAATATATGCAGACAACCAAGATGTAAAATTCATGAAGCCATGAACATCTTTTCATTGATGTATGAATGTTTTATTATCGGCCCCTACCAGCTGTCAAGCCTGTACTGACACAGTGCAACGAAGAGCAGTGTCTCTAGAAAATCAGAATGTAATGTTTGTGTCGACACATACCGCAGTACTAAAACATAGAAAATGTCACTAAATCATTAAACATTGTTGTTAACAAATAGATAAGAAAAATATACACAACGATGCATTTGATGCAAAGTTGTGGTTCAGCAATATTATTGTGGAGAGGGAAGTAATCAAGCAATATGGTTTACACAGTTTTAACAGCTTGTAATTCACATTTTGGGTATCAAGTTTGTACAAAAGATGTACAAGTGAATTGCGTTTTTCAATAGAAATAGTTTATTTTCATGATTTCTCTTTATTACCCTGTGACTAGAGTGTTCCGGGATGTCAAACCTTCCTAACATTATGGTTTCAAATGTGAAAGTGCGAGCTTTTAATGTATAGAGTACTGTATAGGGGTGCGAGGGTACAATTTAAGTATAGAAGAAAATAATAAACTGCTGGTTGCACGTTGTATTTAGCGATTTCATTGTTCTTACTGGACATTAATATTACGATATCATTTACGCATGGGCTCCATACATGGAACTTCAGATGTTTTATATATATGATTAAATTATTTGTCGCGTTTTTCGAAAGGAACATAAAGGTAACGTAAACATGATCAAGTCTGTGCTCCAGTGAGATTTCTCTCTGCACGAAACGTACTGCCGCCGTGATGAGAATATCCTGAGCATGGTCCTGCCTATGCTCAAGCAAACTTGAGAACGTGCTCAAAAGTTGAGCACAGAATTTTTCGTGAATACGACTTGAGCACGAGAATAAAATAGGTGAGCACAAAATCTTAATTTTGAGTACAAAGCCTTGAGTTTGAGCTTGAGAACGGTTTCGTGAATACGAGCCTG